GGAGGATTGGCCCTGGTGATACAGAGGAAATGCTAGATGTTAGATATGCCGAGTTTATGTCTCCTGAAGTTGAAGAATGAATTATAAGGAACAACGGAGGTTAAGAGGAGGAAAACTTGTTGAAGAAAAGGGAATGGGGAAATGGGGCATAGGAATAGCTCCTGAGAGACAGGAGGGGTCCTGAATGGGTTGCCAATGAGCCCACTTCTTAAAGGAAGTTTTATAGAGCAAAATCATGAGGTGGGTATAACGTGGGTCAAAATTATGATTAACTAATAAGATTGCAAGTATAGTTGCTTAGGTAATATTGATCCGATGGTAGCAAGGGCATATGGGTGATATCATTAACCTTGCTCAATATTCTGTTATGGAGGACCACCTGGATGCCTCTCCTTGCAAAAAGAGCATTTGGCCCTACCTCTGTGTATTGATACATACAGAGCTGGCTAGGATATTTCCTTTTCTTCTCAGTTGGCTTTAAGCAATGCAAATGGATCTAGCTGAGGTGCTGATGCATAGTCTTTAAAGCAATGGACAGGTCAGTGATGCCCCATCCATAGCTCCCAAGTAGTATGGGTGAGCTAGGCTGAGTGATGCCGCTGTTGGCTGAGATTGAGCTTTGAGAAAGAAGCTGTGACATCTCAGGGTATGACGATTACACATCAAACCTGAAGCACCCACCTCAAAACACTAGATATTGCCCGGATCTGTGATCTGCAAATTATTCTTTCTGTATGTCTTTCTCTCTGCATGCTGCAGAGGTGCTATCAGGCCTCCTACCTAGCCCAGCTGACAGCACTCACGTACCTGCCAACTTTCTTAAAGTCACTCATCCCCAAGCCACTCCCCTCTTCATGAATTAATAAAACCTGGGTTTGCCCTGGGTTGAGGCCTTTGTTCTGGTTAGCCACTGGTCTAGCCGGATTTAGGACCCCCTTGGCTCCCCACAACTACAAACCTGCCTTAGTGCCTTTATTCTCCCAGTGGGTTGCACAAGAAGTGGTAGATTGGGATTATTGGAATTCCAGTATCTTTTCCCTGGGATTACAAATATAAACTTGCTTGACCTCGATGAGGTCAGGAAAGGGCTTCCTAGAATTTGTCGTCTTAGTCTTGTCTTGGTGTTTTTTTAGTTGTAGTGGTCTTAGTCTTAGTCTTGGTGGGAGAGGCTAGCTCACTCACAATGGAATAATGGAAAATCTCAAAAGAGTGATACCAATAATCTCAAGCTTCTGTTTATCCTTTGGAGAAGTATGTAAGTCCAGCCATCGTGACTTTAATCTTCTTCAGATGCACCTCCAGCCAGTTTTCATGCATTTTCATCTTTTGCAATGACTCCCTTGAGAACCCAGCCCTGTCTAACTGCCTACTATATTTCTACCTAATTTAGCTATCTACAATATTGGGGTTGCCCAAGTTCAGGTGAGTGGAGGGGAGAGGTCCCACAGATCCATTTGTCTTGTCTATGCCAGAGACATGCCTTTCATTTGTAACATGGGCCATTGTTTTTCTGTCTTAGTTTTCCCTAGTAAGCCAAGACCAAGACAGAACTTTCTATAGATTCACACATTCCGAAGATTTACACCCACAAAACACATAAATATCCTCATGTTACAGTTGAGTGGGCCAAAAATAATCTAGGTTCTTGTGTACAAAGAAAGAATTACTAAGTGTCCACCTTGCTGTATGTAGTAAGTAGCTATGGTTATTGAAGTTCAAGGAATGGTAGCAGCCAGAACAGATGAGGGTGAAGAGTGTGTGTGTGTGTGTGTGTGTGTGTGTGTGTGTGTGTGTGTGACTCAGGCTTCCAGTATTTATAGGTCAGACCCCTCGATCCAAGGTGCATCCCACTGTCTCTCTCACTGATGTCAGCTATCAGCACAACCTCCTAAGCTCAAACCTGGATAATCTCTAGGGTGGTGTTGCATTTACAATTGAATGGAGAGAAGAGAAGTGGCTCACATAACTCCTTAGGGTTATGGAAATGCGAGTAATTATTAGGGTGGTGTTGCATTTAGAGTTGAATGGAGAGAAGTGGCTCCCATAACTCCTTAGGGTTATGGAAACACGAGTAATTATTAGGGTGGTGTTGCATTTACATTTGCACAAGGGAAGGGAGTGACTCAGCTCTTTGTTTCTAACTGTACTACCCAGACTGTCCTGTACCTGTCTTTTGAGGACCTGCACTCTATTTAACACTCTACCTACTGGTTTCCCTCCGTTATGCCTCTTACTGATGCACCCTGAAAATTGCTCTTCTGTGATGGGGTTACCCTATGGACCACACTTATGGCCCCATAGACATCAAGGAATGAAGTCAAAAACCAAAGGAAGAGGTTAGGAGAGTTTTGGATTTGCAGGGGGGATCCTGACTAGGTAGCCATGTGGCCCCTCTATCCAAGCCTAATTATAGGTAAGCAGAGCACAGGAATTAATGGTCATCCATCATAGGTGGCTCTGTGGATTTAAAATGACCAATTAGAACTCAGGATTTCTAACCAAGAGCTTCAGCATGCAGGGTTTAAAGGGAATTGGGATTTTAGAGAGAGAAAAAAAACAACTGGTTATTTTGCAACCAAACTCAAGAGTTTGGTAGGGAGTGGCTACACCTCCCTTTAGCAGAGAAGGGGCTGCATTTCAGGTTGCCTGGGACAGTTCATCTGGGGTCTAAAATTCTAGTTCGCTGCTTATTTCTATCAGTGTAGCTGATCACCTAACCCTTTCTCAGGCCCTTTCCCTACTGGTGGCTAGCTGCCTGATTTCTAAGCCAACTAAATATTTTCTACAATGGAAGTTTGTGAACCTGCAACCAGTCCTGTGGGCGGGGTGAACAAGTTTCCCATTTTACCTTTGGTGACCTCCTCAGACCTTGTCTGGTGATAATGATATAAGGGAGAAAAACTCCCAACCTGAATGATATCTGGGAGGAGGTGATGTTCTCTAAAATCAAAGAATGAATTTTAGGAACAACAGAGGTTAAGAGCAGAATATATTTATTGAGAGAAAGAAAGCTTCATCCGAGAGAGAGACAGATGTAGGGCCCTAGTGGGTTGCCCAGAGAAACTATCTTTTCCAGAGATTTTATAAAAACCATGAGGTAGGGAAGGTCCAAGCTGGAAAACATGGGAACTCGCTAGCCCATGGGGTGGGGCAAAACTATGATCAACCAATAAGGTTATAAGTATAATTCTTCAGGTAAAATTGATTAAATCGGGATCAAATGGGGAAGCGAGTCACGTAGCAAGTGGGTATGAATACAGAACAGGGGCTTTTCCTGTAGGGTGTTGGGATAGTGACTCTTCCTGGCTTTTTGAAGGTGGTTGCTACCTTTTTAGAATATCAATCCCTGGGGTCCATCCCTAGGGAGGTATGTGGGTGCAGTTGTTTAATCTTTTGTCTTGAGGTCTGGCCCGAAGCAAGTACATCTCCATTTGCAAGGTATCTTGTCTTCTATATCGGCTCCTTCGAGGGCCTGGCCCTGTCTGCCTATAACATTTCTATATAACTCAGATGCCTATAACAATAAGGGGAGAAGAGAAGTCTATGGATGGAAAAAAAAACCTAAATTATTTGAATAATTTTCTCCCAGTTAGAGGCTAACCAACTGGGGTCTGGGCCGGTGTGTTACGGTTAACATACACATCACCTGATCCTCATTAACAACCAGGTGCACGACTGACGCACTTAATCCAGGCAGAACTGGCAAGGAGGCAAGTAGCCTTTCCACAATTTCTTACCTAGGTATCACCGAATGGAGGAAGTGCGAGCCAATCCAGGACTTCTGACTCTAAAGCTTTTGGTATTTGCTATTTCCAAATACAATCGAATATAATGCAGAGGCATTACAATTGAAAATCAATTTATGTAAGTATTATTGTTTATCTAAACAAATAAGATGTGCAGTGACTGAGACAACAACCCAAAGCACTGTAGGAAGATGTAGGTCCTTAGGGGCAGCCTTCCTTCCAGAAGTACTGCCTGGTTGTCTACGGTGTGGTCCTGCCAGGTTTCCCTCCTGACCGCTGTGGAAGGCACGGTGTGTGAGAGACCAGTGCTGCGGGTGGTGAAAAGAATTTACCAGTCGTCAAGGAATACAGGAAAGTCTGAATATACTGATAGACTGTAAGAGCAAGACAGAATCGTGCCATCTGGTGAAAGGCTGAGGTTCTGGAGCTTGATTTTAACATGAGGGGGTTTGAAAACAACCCAGGAACGCTTTCAGTTCTAACGATAGCCAGGTGTCGTTGGAAGGCTAACAACATTTTTGGTTGACAGGGTCTAGTGCCCTTGGTGTTGCTAGAAACAGTCCTTCCCGGTAAAATTAGCTGACAAATGTGTGGAGGTTGACTGTTGGTGGCCAAGGGGATCAGAATAAAGTGTACGTTTGGAATTGAGAGGGCCTTTTGACTTATCTTAGGACAGGAAAAGAACTGGTACTCCTTAGGACAAGAGGAGGTCATCTAGTGAGGTGTGTGTGCTTTTTGTACCTTGCCCACATTGTGAAAAGTTAATGTTCTACAGTACTACAGACTCACTACGCAGTTGCAATGTGGTGTTTAAAGAAACAATGGTAAAACAGCCGTGATTTTCCACACTGGCCTGTGCTGTTCTGAGCAGCACAGAGGCTGGCTTCCCGGGGCAGCGGAGATCTGCCCCGACCTTCCTGAAGGGATCCTCACCCCTCTTGCAAGGCGCACAGCTCCGTGATCTTGAGCGTCGATTATGCAATTTGGAGCTTGTTCTTGACTTTCTACATGACGCCGCCTCCTTCCCAAGCAGATAATACACTTGATCTCTCGTAGCCTTAATTTCTTTAGAACATGTATCTGAAGACGGTTCACGGATCACCTGCCCTCGGCCCAACCCAGAGCATGCGCACTAAAGGGTGCCCGCCGCCCTCCCTGAGGCTCCGCCCCTCCGGCCTTGGCCCCGCCGGCGTCGCCGCTCGCCCCGCCCCGCCCCGCCCCGTCCCGCCCCGCGCACGCGCAGGCGTGTTTTTCCCATGGCGCTCCGGGGCGCGGGAGATTTGTAGACTATGGCGGGAGCTTGGTCTGCGTACTGCGGTAGAGAATGCTCCTCTGCTTCTTGTGCGTGTAACCACAAAGACAAAAGGAGCGACTCCTCGCTGTTGGGCCGGCGGCTCTTGGAAGACTCGAGCCGCCACCAGCTGCTGCAGAAGTGGACGAGCATGTGGAGCTCGGCGAGCGGGGACGCGTCGGTGGCCGGGGCGGCGAAGGCGCGGAGCGAGGCGGAGGCGGCGGAGGCGGAGGCGGACAGCCCGCTGGTGTTCCTGTGCTCCGGCTGCCGGCGGCCGCTGGGCGACTCGCTGAGCTGGGTGGCCGGCCAGGAGGACACCAACTGCATCCTACTGCGCTGTCAGTTCCGGCGGGGCTGGCGGGGCGGGGCTGGGGCAGCCTTCCCGGCACTGTCGGCCCTGGGCGGTCCGGGGGGAGGGGAGGAGCCCCTTGTGGTCACCCTGGGAAAAGCAGAAGAGGAAGGTCACCCCTGCGGGCGGGCTGAGGAGTGACGATCATTTTCTGGGATTCCCCTGTGCGGGAAGAGCATCCCTTGAATCTGCGTGGTCGCGAGCATTATTCAGGCGCTTGGGAAGTAGCCTGTCTAGTAGGTGTGACTCCCTAGCTGTTAACTAGTTAGTAATATTCTTAGCGGTTTATTCAAGCAATTAAGTTTTTTCAGCTACAGTTTCCTGCAGGGGAGTGTCAAGACTGGTTTTTCTAAGTGTATCTTTCTTTTTTTTTTTAAATTTTCTTTTTTTGGTTTTCTTCCCGTACCAGGAATTGAACTCACGACCTTGCGCTTGCCAGGCAGGCGCTTTGCCACTGAGCTAAATCCCCACCCCTGATTTTTCTAAGTGTTAAAACCATAGAGTTGACACAGTTCCACGAGAGGGGAGATGGCTTGAAAACATCAACATCCCCATGAAATTAAAGAGGAAGGAGAATGTAGTAAAAGAGTTAAGGGAGGAGGAATTCTAGCTTTTAATCCTGACTTTACCAGTTGCCTGTATTATTTACAATATTTGCCAGAATTTATTTGGGGAAAAATGACATATAGTTTTTTGAATTGGCATAGAAATGGCTGTTTTCTTGGGAATATATATGTTTATATTTGGCGGTACTGGGGACTGAATCCAGGACATTTTGCACCAACCCTTTTTAAAATTTTTTTGAGGCAGGATCTCACTGAGACACTCATTTTCTTAGGTTGGGCTTAAATTGGGAGATCCTCCTGCCTCAGGGTCCAGAGTGCTAGAATTACAGGTGTGTGCCATGGCACCTGGCTCTGAATTCTGTAACATTTTGATAGCAGGAATTTACTATCAATTTATTAACCTCGTAGCATGCTTTGCTACTTGCGGATGTTATATCGGGAAGAAAGGAGAACACCAGTGTTGGCCAGTTACTAGAACTTTCTGGCATCCATTGTTTTTCAGAGCAAGCATTGCTGAGTCTTTCTCCGTAAAAGCACACAACCCCCACAGTGATTCATTGTGATTACCCCTTTACATCTGTTAAACACTGCAGAAGTGTGGAAAAGTGAAAAGGACCTAGCCCTGGCCTCCGCACTCTTGTAATCTCAGACTCACACAGTTACACTTCCAGATATGCTCCATGCACATCTGAGCATAAACATATAAAATTCTTTTTTTAAAACATGTAAACTTTTTTTTAAATATGTAAAATTCTTAAAAACACACTTAAGATTATATTAAGATTGTTAAGGCTAAATGGCAACACGCCTTTCTCCTTATAACTCCACACACATGGTGCATATTTTTCCATGTTAGGGAATATGGATATAATTCATTTTAGCAGTGGCTTGGTGTGTACTTGCTGAGAAGTAGTGTATTGTGGTGAAGACTTTCGAATGGCTGTGTGTGAACCTTGGCCTGACTCCCACTAGCTATGTATCCTTGGGCAAGCTACTTAACATCTCTGTGTGTCTCTTTCCTCTTCTCTAAAATAAGGAGAATACTTGGTGTAGTGGTGAGGTTTAAATGAATGTGTGCTAGAGTAAGTACCAAGTGCCACATAAGTGATTTTGCTAATGAGCCAACCAGCCTGTCTCTGTGGTTTTCAGCAGTGCCCCCCATTAGAACAGCAGTTGGGTTGAGATTTTTGATATTGTGGGTGAAGTCCTTGCTTCTAGTAGGTTGATTTATTTCATGATTTTTAAAGAAATAACACTATCTGGGCCTAGTGGCACATGCCTGTAATCCTAGCACTATTTGAGTTAAGGCAAGAGGATCACAAGTTTAAGCTCAGCCTAGGCTACGTAGTGACTTAGTGAGACCCTGTCTCAAAATGAAAGAGTTGCAGATGTAGCTCAGTGTGAAAGCCCTGTGTTCAGTCCCCAGCACCGCACACACACTTTGTTTTTTCTCCTTATAGCTCTGCTTTCCTTTGTCACAATAGGTGCTTTGTTTTATTCGTAAGATAGTATTATTTCTCTTACTTAGTTTTTTAATGTCACAACTTTTTTAAATTTAAAAATTATATAAGTAACAGCTTTAGGTACTTAACCTCCATCTTGTTAAAGGAAAAATGAACTCCTGGGTTAATTTCCTTTCCCTCCTGCCCCAATTTTACCTTTTTAATTACTTTTACTTTGTCCTGATTTATAACATTTATGTTCTTGTTGTTGTTGTTGTTTTTGAAATTCTTAAAATTTTAAAACAGCGTCTGGCTAAGTTCCCCAGCTGGCCTCGAACTTACACCTCTCCTGCCTCTGAATCTGAGTAGCTGGGGATTACAGGCGTGCACTGCCGCACCTGGCTGCGCATGTACATTCCGTTTGACGGTCATGTCATTGAGGCTTAACACAATGTTGGTATGAGTTCACGTCTACTACTACGTTCTAGTAGTACTTGTTACAATATTAGTAGCTTTTCTATTCCAGCGTTGTTTGATTTATCCATCCATCCCCAAGAAAACAAGGCTGCTTGCAGGGAAGTGTCTCTGTGGTCTTAATATATGAATGCCAACGTGGCTGCAGCCACAATTCCTGGATCCTGCTCTGCTTTTCCCATGGAAACAGCAGCTAGTAAATGGCACCATAGTGAGTGTGACTGAAGTTTAGAATAAAGACAAGATTTAAGAAAGAAAGAAGAAAGGAAGGAGCAAGCCAGAAACCTTAGGACCCTGTTTCTTCTGAGCATAGGGATCTATCCTAGTGAGTGAGGAGTAGGGGTGGTCGGAGCCCCTTATTTTGGAACAAACGTGGAAAGTGGAGGCTGGGCAGCACTAGTGTGGGTCTGTACTACTTAGTGCCGTGGCCTGACAAGGCGGTTTTGAAACGAGTGAGGTTTGTGGGGTAGAGTTGGTATGATGTGTCAGTGGGGTGGATGTCAGGAAGCAGGATGAGGAAGAAAACTAAGGATGAAGGCTGGGGAGGTAGCTCAGTGGTGGAGCAGTTGGCTAGCATGCATGAGGCCCTGGGTTCAACCCCCAGCATTACCAAGAGCAAAATTAAAAAAAAAAACAAAACAAAACAAGGATGATGGATGCTCTAGTTTCTCATCTGAGGAACCTGGTAGGTGGGGTGGATTTACTGAGATAAGGTGTCCGTAGAAGGAGATGTTTGGCCAGTACACATCTGATACCCTGTCTTTATTTCCCTTCTCTGGGAATGTTTTCGGCTCCAGCTGTGATCTGTCTAAGTCACTGTCCTAGCAAAAGATGTTTGGGACACTGGGCACTTCTCAGTCACTCTTAGAGAAGGGAGCTCTGCATCTGCAACCTGGAGGTGAATGCATTGGGTTTTTTCTTGGTGTGGATCCCAGCTTCATCATGTGGCAGATGTTCTTTGTATTCTGTGATTGAAGGTTGTAATTTGTCCAAGAGCTATTAGTAATTGAATTTCCCTCTTTAATTTTGCTTATTTTTTAAGTTTAATTTTGCTTATTTTGTTAAGTCACTGGTTTTCAGGGAAGGGAATGAAATAACTTGTACCATTTTTTCTAAAAGACTCCTGTACATTTGGGGTTTTTTGTTTTTTTTTTGTTCTTGAGACAAGGTCTCACTATGTAGCTCAGTCTGGCCTTGAACTCACTGTGTAGCCCAGGCTGGCCTGGAATTTGAGAAGATCCTCCTGTCTCAGCCTTCTGAGTGCTGGGATTATAGGTGTACACCATCTTTGCCCAGTTTACATTTAATTTTGAACCACCCTTTGTGTTTGCATGTGCGTGTGTGTGCGGGAGAGAGACAGACAGACACAGACAAAGAGACACTTAGGGTCTTAATTTTTTGGCTCTCCAAGTTCCAGGATAAAAGTGGAATTAGAAATTCTCTAAATGTCTGCATGTGTATTATGATGAACTGCATTAATAAAACATTGCTTCTCTTTCCAGGTATATCCTCTAACGTTTCTGTAGATAAAGAGCAGAAGCTATCCAAATGGAAAAATGAAAATGGTTGGTGAGTAAGGCTGTATCCATGTGGATATTACATTAGACAAAAAAAAAAAATTGAAAATAAACAGAAAAAATCTGTATCATAAAATCTCAAAGTTATAGAACAATGTTAATATAAGACAGAGGCTATTATAAATAGTCAAGGCTACCTGTGCTCAGAAGCAACCAGCCCAAGGGGCTGCACAGTCCCAAGTCCTTTGTAGCCACTTCCAAGTGTATGGGGGGAGAGACACCTTGCCATACCTGTCACCTGCTAGCTGCCTGTGGCATCCTCAGTAAACTGAACAGGAAACTCTGCCTTATGTGATTGCCACCCAAAATCTGAAATGTGTCTTACTGAAGTAACTTTAGGTGGTACCTGAATAAACAAAAATGGATGTTTATATTTTGATGTGCATTACAAATGCTGGGTTTTGCTTTTTAATAATGATAAGGTATCCGATTCAAGTAAAGTGTATTTCAATTTTTAAAAATTTACTCTTTTTTATTTTTTTGTCTTTTTTGAGGCAGGGTCTCTCTATGCAGTTCAGGCTGACCTTGAGCTTACTTTGTAGCCCAGGCTGGTTTCGAACTCGCAACGATCCTCCTACCTCAGGCTCTTGAGGGCTGGGATTATAGGCATGCGCCACCACACCCAGCTTAAAAGTTTACTCTTAAGGAAAATTAAATTGCTAATGTTTCAGGTAGTATGTAGGTATGACAGTTGTGCTGTTGGCATGCAGGTGATTAAAATTTGGAAAACTTGACCTCAGATAATTTCTCATTTTGTGGATGAAAAACAAGGCTGGTGAGCTTTGAACTTCATGAAGTTCCCAGGCCTAATTAATATAAGAGCTGGGGCAGTTCCCTTGGTTGTTCTTTCTCTGCTTCCCATTTTGGCTACTCATTTTGACATCACCGTCTCCATTTTTTGCCATGAGTCCATTTTTCATTACTATAATAATTTTCTCCATTTTTGCCAGCTAGATGATTATTATACACTTAGTATGTGTTCATGAAATTGGCTTAAAATTGTTATTTACATTTATTTTAAAAGGGATCTTTACATTATTAACATAACTATATCATTGACCATGACATGAAAGTGACTGAAGATAATTACAATGAAACAAATACTTATTAGATGTAGTTGAGATATTGCCTGCCTGGTTCTGGTCTGTTCTGTCATTTTTAAATGATTTGCAACTATAAATATTAAACATAGACTAATATCAACTTGAGATTTTCTTCTTTAATTATCCAGGTTGGTAGAGAATTAAAAGGGAATTAACTTTCTTATTCTGTGATCCAAAGTTATTTGATGCTATATGATCTAAGTGCATTTTTCATTTATTCATTTACTTATGTTTTGGTTTGTTTTTGTTGTTTTGAGACAAGGTCTTGCTATGTGGTTTCCAGCTGGCCTTGAATTCTCTATGGAGCTCAGGCTGGCCTTGAACTCATGGCGATCCTCCTGCTTTAGCCTCCCAAGTGCTGGAGCTGGAGGAGTGCGCCACTACACCTGGCTAAACCCATCTTTATCCTGGCTTCAATTGTGATGAGTTTTACTAAGCCCATATGCTCCACACTTCTGGACATTGCTTTCGGATGCCTGTGTAACTTTTGCGTGCCTGTCCTACTGAATGCCTGTCTAGGCTATTCTGCTGATGGGCAACTAAAGTGCTGTGGCCTTTAGATATGTTTTGAAGGTGGCAGTGCTGTTTCCTCTGCTCATTTGGCATGTGCCCTTTGTTAAGGATGTTACAGTGTCACTCATTCCTGTGTAAAATGGCCTTATGTTTTCTGGCACTGTTAATCTCTATATTGTTCGACAGTGAGGGTGAATTCTGGCCAACTCCGCCAACTGTGCAGCGGAAAGATGGTGCATTGTGGTTGCTACCAACTCTTCATTGTTCTCCCAGATTATTCCAGAGGTGTGGATTAGTCTGTTTGTCATTACTGTAACAAAGTACCTGAGACGGCCTGCTTTATGCAGAAAAGTGGTTTATCTGGGCTGCTGGTGTTGGCCGAGGGCCCAGATGGCACAGAGTGGCACATGGCAGGAGACAGGGAATTTGGGTCTGTACGCTGTGTCTTCTAGTCTGTCCCTCTTCTTACAGAGCCTCTCAGGTTCACTCCCCAGGCCCCCATCCTAAGGACTTTTTTTTTTTTTGGTTTTTCTCCGGTACCAGGAACCAAACTCACGACCTTGCGCTTGCCAGGCAGGTGCTTTGCTGCTGAGCTAAATCCCCAGCCCCCTAAGGACTTTATCTAGTCCTAATCAGCCTGCCTCTGAACGCTATAGCAAGACTTAGTTTCCATTCTCTTACTAAAACTACCTCACAGTAGGGATTGTTTTAGCATGAGTCTGGGAGGACAAATCTTATTCAGTCCCAGCCAAAGTATGAATGGTTTAATGTGCACCCTTCAGTGGCATTTAGATTCGTTTGATAGTTCAAGTGAAAACAATCTTATCCACTGGTCAGTATTTTGAGAGCTCAGGCCTCTCTGTCCTTTCATGGTTGATGATAATCACACTAAATATTGGTTCATCATATTGATAATTGCGTGTGGCAGCTTCCTAATTATCATAACGTTTCATAGGTAGCATGGAGATTTGTTGATGTTATAGGCGGGGTTCCCTGTTTTGTAATTTAAGGTTTGCAAGTAAGGAAGTAAACGGGTTTATTAAGATGCTTTACTACTTCTTATATAAAAGCCTTAAAGAATTTCACAAACACTTACATTTGTTGTCCCTGGCATATTATCTGCTTAACTGTGTCACCAGTGAGAACTTACACTTTATCGGGTGATATTCTGTTTTGATATTGGTGCTGTCTATTGCTGTATGATTAGAAGTGTCTCTCAGTGTCCATCAGTAAGCCGTGATAGACAATCCGTAATGTGCTGTTGAGTCTTGGTTAGCTTCCTTTTTCGTCATGCAGGAACGGGTATTTAGGGATGACTGATAGCTCAAATACTCTTGACATAATAGGCTTTTGTGGTACCTATTTACTTCTGTGCTCAAGACGAGATCTGAATCTCTAGTTGTCATCAAGTTGCTATGTGTTGGGCTGTCATTTTGGTATAAGTGGTTATAGAATGGAAAATTTGAATGGGCCAATTTGACAAAGCTTTTGGGAGATATTAGATTTTAGGCCAGGTTTAAAGAAGACATAAATTGGGGGGTGATTGTGCACACCTGTAATTCCAGCCCTTGGGAGGCTGAGGCAGGTGGATTGCCGCAAGTTCAAGGCCAGCCTGGGCTACATAGTGAGTTTGAAGCCAGACTGAATTACATGGTGAGACCCTTTCTCAAAACAAAGCTAAACAAAACAAAGAAGATGTGAGGTGGCATGCAGGGAGAGTGCATTCAAATATGTGGAGCCTGAGTTGAGAAGTATCTAGAATGAAAGAACAATTAATGTGGAGAAGCTAGTAAGTAAATATTTTTTGGTGGCACTTGGGATTGAAGCCAGGGCCTGTGCCCTGAGCTACGTGCCTGCCCTTTTCTTTTTTCTTTCTTTTTTTTTTTTCACTCTTTTAAAAATTTTGAGACAGGAGCTTAAATTGCCCAACCTGGGCTTGAATTTGGGATCCTCCTACCTCAGACTCCCAGACTGCTGGGATTATAGGTGTGAACTACCTTGCCTGGTTTGCTAAGTAGGTACTTGTGTCAAAGTATCCTTTTAAAAATCAGTTCTAACATACAGAATGAACACATGTCAAAGACGTATTTAACCAATTAATGAGGGAACCAGAACATGGCACAGCTGGCTCAGAGGAGGATATTGCTTTATAGAATGCCCTGGTTAATGTCCTGTAGGTCGCTAAAACCTCAGCCTCTGGAAATCACTCACATCCCTGCCAGACTCCAACTATTTGCAATTTACCTGTCTTCTTTCTGCAAGTCATCTAACTTTAGAGTCCTCCCTCTCCTTAATTTTAGAGTCTTTTTCAAGTAAGCAGTGTTACTTCCACTAGAGCCAGGCTGCAAGCTAATCCTGGGCTCATGGGCTGGCGCCTTTCTTTGTGGAACCCAGACCGTTCAGTTACGTATGTATGGCTAGGATACGCCGCACTACAGCGGCAAAGGTGATGCTTAGGACAGATGCCAGATGGCCTGCGAGCCTAAAGTGTGTATTGTCTGCTTTGTTAGAGGAAAACTCCCTGCCCCTTCCCTCTAGTGTTCACGGTGTGCTAGTGGGTTGGATAATGGCATTAGAAGGGCATACAGAATCGTTTAGTGGTTTGTTTTTTTTTTTTTGGTCTGAGATAGGGTTTCACTATGTAGTTCAGGCTGGGCTTGAACTCACTTTGAAGCCTACGCTGACCTCGAACATGTAATCATCCTCCTACCTCAGCCTCCCGAGTGCTGGGATTATAGGCATGTGCCACCATGCCCAGCTAGATTCTTTGAGCCTTATTTCTAAATTTTAGATAATTTTTCTTAGTGTCACACTGAGAAAAGCATCATGTCTGTATCCTCTTTTGTCACTTTATGCCTGCCGCTTGTCATTAGATGCCCTGGGCAGTGCAGGCTACAAATGACTGTCTTTCCATTTCTCTCTCTTTTTTTTTTTTGGTACCAGGAATCGAACTCAGGACCTTGCACTTACGAGGCAGGTGCTTGCGCCGCTGAGCTATATCCCCAACCCTTCCATTTCTCTTGTGCACACCTTACAGTCATTTTTTTCCTCTCCTTACGTATATATGACTTGATGTGGTCGGAATGACTTTGGAACGCCAGCCTTGAAGGGGTTTAGGGATGGGGTTTTATCAAAACAGGTTGCAGCTGTGTTCCCTAAAGCAGTGACACTTCTCCATGGCAGCGTTCTTGAGACTTTGTACTGTACCGGCTGCTCGCTCCTCCTCGGCTATGTGTACAGATGCACTCCCAAGCACTTGGATTACAAGAGGAACTTGTTTTGCCTCAGCGTGGAAGCCATTGAAAGGTGAGTTTTTGTACATGAATGGCCGCCTCATCCCTGTTTTCTCAGAAAATTAAATCTGTGGAAACATTGGTCTGGAAATATCAGAACTAAGTACGGGTTAAAGTATTTTCCTTCAAGTAATACTTTCTGACAATTAGGCCACTGAAATATATGAGGTTTGTTCTGATTTATTTGGTATTGGAAAAGTTCAAATGCTACATTACAGGAAAAAACATTGTGAGAAAATTTTTTGAAGTAAAAATGTGTTCACTTGTTTTTAAAAATTAACTGCAGCTTAATAAGATTATTTAAGTACTAGTTGAATCACTCAGTATATATTGCTCACTTCCCCTTACCATGTTAAGTTTTTAGCTTAGAATATCATGAAAACATAGGAATTTCAAAATCGGTGAGGGAAGAAGTCCCTTTGATGTTCTGGGAAAGTAGAAATACAAAGTCCAACTATTGCCACTAGTAAACAGTTGCCTTTTTGAGATATGCCAACGAATGCTCCCACTCCTCAAGATTTCTAGAAAGTGACTGTTAGGGAGCAATGTCCATGCCGGGCTGGACACAGACGTCAGTTAAAGGGTTTCAGGTGGCCCACTGGCTCTTTGGCCCTTTTGTTTTTTAAAGGACACACAAAATTAAATAGTCAGTCGACCGCAATGCATAACCCTCAAGGCTTGGATGCTGCCTGAGAGGCAGGGGATATAGCTCAGCAGCGGAGCGCTTGCCTAGCATACAAGTGCGCCCGGCTTCTGACAAGACAAGAGAAAGGCTGCTGTCTTGCTTACTTTACTCTCCTTGCTGGGACAGAGTAACAGATACCCAAAATGAAGGAAGGAGAGGTATATTTGGCTCACAGTTTGTGGAGGTTTCAGTTTATACTCAGCTGGCTCCAAGGCAGGGTGGCTTGGAAGAGGAGAACAGTTCATGGCAGGCAGAAGACAGCAAAGGCAACAAGAGCAACAAGCTGGTGAGGAGCAAGCCGCTTTTCCTCCCTTACACTGTGTGCAGGCTGCCTGCCCTCGGGCGGGTCCTTTGTACCCACACTGCGTCCCTGCCCTCCTCCAGCACAGCCTCAGGGTGTTTACAAAGTGAGGACTCTGCGCAGTTGAGTTACGCAGTTAAACTTCTAAACTTCTCCAGTTGACACAATAAATCTTACCTATCAGGAAAGAAGAGCAGTTTAAAAAGAAAAGAAAGTGCCTACACTTTTATTTTTCCCAGTACTGGGAATTGAACTCACGACCTTGCGCTTGCTAGGCAGGCACTGTGCCGCTGAGCTAAATCCCCAGCCCCAAAAATGAGCTCCTTTTTTTGTTTGTTTGTTTTCTGGTACCGGGATTCAAACTCACAACCGTGCGCTTGCCAGGCAGGCACTGTGTCACTGAGCTAAATCCCTACACTTTTATTATTTGAGAAATTTTATTATTCCTGAAGAATTTTTTACATTTTTCTCTCTAAAAAAAATATAAAACTTCTTTTTACTAAATAATTTCTTGCCTAGTTATTCCTCAATAACTGCAGTTTTGTCACTTTGTTTGCAATTAGACAGGTTTACATCAAAATTTTATAATCTGCCAATTTTTTTTTTTTTTAGAACCCTTACACAGAAGAAGGATATAACAAATGGTGTTCTTTGCTATAAAGCCTGTTGTCATTGGGAGAGATATCTGTTTCGGTTTTAATGTATGAATAGAAGGCCCAGAACCTGACCAAATGCTTTGTTATTCTCCTTAGATATCTGCATGGTTTGTGAAGATTGAGGGACAGTACAAGAATAAAAGACAGGAGGTTTAATCCAGTGGAGTTGGCACAAACCTTTCAAAAGTGATATTATCTGTTTAAAGGAGGATATGGGGATGCTTTTGCCCCAGAAGATCATAATATTGAAGCTATTTTTTTTTTTTATTTTAAAGAGAATAATAAAAAATAGCAAAATACCAACACCAGAGACAAAACCAAAACAGCAAAAACAATAAAAATGATGAAGGGTTTCAGAACAAAATGATAGGAATTAACAGTGGCTGTTATTTGAAGCTATTTTTCTTGAATAGTTCATCTGTGAGACACATTATCTTTTGGGGCAGGATTTTCATGCCAAGGAATCTGTTTTTATTTTAGAAGTGTATGCCCTCTGTAACTTTTTTTTCTTTTTTCTTTTTTCTTTTTTTTTTTTTTTGAGAGGGTTCCTTGCTATGTAATTCAGGCTGGCTTTAAACTCACAAGGTAGCCCAGGCTGGCCTCAACCTTGTAATGATCCTTCTGTCTCAGCCCACTGAGTGCTGGGTTTACAGGTGTGCATTGCCATAGCTAGCTACCTCTGAAACTTTTGTTTAAAGTTTTATAAATCACTTAACTGCTGCTTGGAATTTTTTTTTTTTTTTTGAGACAAGGTCTTGCTATGTAGTTTAGGTGGGACTTTAATTCACAATGTAGCCCAGGCTCTCCTCCAATGCAAAGCAGTTCTCCTGCTTCAGCCTCCTGAGTGTGAATTTTTCACTTCATTTCTTTTTTCTTTTGCCTAAAAGGATGGAGCTGCCTTTGTTTTCCTAAATAGGAAGTTACTTGCCTTCACTGTTTTTCAGGAATACAACCAGTGAATTTCCAAAGGGGGAAAAAGAAGTGACATACAAAGTTTCTATATGTGAGAAAAGACTTCTATTTATAGAAAGACAAAGGAATTGAGTTTTCTTCCTTTTTTTTTTTTTTTTTTTTTGGTTTTTCTCCGGTACCAGGAACCGAACTCACGACCTTGCGCTTGCCAGGCAGGCGCTTTTGTCGCTGAGCTAAATCCCCAGCCCGAGTTTTCTTCCTTTTGTTTGGTCTGCCTGGTTGCCAACGCCAGGCCTGTTTCCTCCTGTTACTAGGCCAGTCTTTCAGCTGTGTAATACTTTTCCAAGCCACAGTGCGCAACCCTACAGTACAGAGCAAAGCACGACCTGGAGGCAGGATAACTGTTGGAAGTTGCCCAAACTTGGGTAATCGAGAGCTTATTCCAAATTATTATTCATTAAAAGTCAAATATAAACCTGATGTGATGGCCTACACTTGTAATTCCAGCACGCAGGTGGCTGAGGCAGGAGAATGGCTGGGAGTTTGAAGCCATCCTGGGCTATATAGTTCAAGGCCGGCCTGAACTGCATAGTGAGACCCTGTCTCAAAAAGCAAAAACAAGTCAAATAGGAAAGCGCATGTTTTAAAAAAGTTAGATAAAGCAAGAAAGCAGTGGCTTCCTTCAAACCAACCATTTCTTCAGGATATTTAAACTTGCCTGTGGAATTCTGAACTATGATAATGTTTTTGCCACTCAGTTTCCTACGGAGTGAATTTATTTCAATAATGAAATACATATAATGAAAAATTAATGTGTAAAAATATCTGGACAAAACTGTTATGGAGAAAGACCTGATTTTATGTGGTATAGCTTCCTATGTAGGTTGCTTTAGCAAAAATAGTTGTTTTATTCATTTGCTCAGTGCTGATATATAGTGTGATGTGCTTAAGAGTTTTAATATTTTTAACTGACATAAATTTAACATTTATTCCCCTTCCTGTTTTAACTGTGCTAAACACTATGTTTTAGTTATACTTTGGGGTCCTCTGAAAAGCAAATTGTGTCAGAAGACAAAGAGCTTTTGAATCTTGAAAGCAGAGTTGAAATGGAAAAGTCTCTAAAACAGGTAATTTTATTTGGAACATTTTATGTCTTTTATGAAGAACTTCCTATCAGTGAGCAAGTGCCCCTCCACATGGTAATTCCATAATGTCATCTGTTTTTGTCCGAGTACTTGCCTGGTAAAAGTGATGATTTTACTTCAGTTGTTAATAAGTTGATTTTTGTGGAACTAAACTATAAATTAAGCTAAAGCTTTTATCAACAAAATAATGAGGACATTCCATGCCCAGATCATAACAGGACGTATTGTTAAACTGTTACACTAGAAACATAGCTTTACACCCAATACATACTTGATTTGGTTTGTTTCACGTTGTTGCTGGATGTTAACTTCTTTTCATGGTACAGTGGGCAAGATGGTGATAACCATATAGCTGTAGAGCTGTAAGTTGAAAACTACAGTTTGATAGAATATCTCATTTAAATAAGATTTGTGTGTCTAAATGGTTTTGTTAGATATTCTGTGCTGTTATGCATAATAAGTAACATTCAGACTTGCATGAACAATGTAATTTTAACCATGTTTAATTATGTATCATTTTTAATCATTGTAACATTTGTGTTTCTTTGTATTCTTTTTTTAAACTTGCCAGATGGAAGAGGTCTTGAAAGCGTTACAGACCAAGCTGTGGGAAGTGGAATCAAAATTGTCTTTTACCAGTTGCAACAGCTGAGCTCAGTTCCGTGTCCACCCCTCATATTCTTAGAGGAGGAGATCTGTAGAGCTACTTCTGTAGCTCGGCTGCAGGGCTCCCGTGTTAGAAGTTTAAAGCTATTTTCTGATACTTGCTGGAATTGGAGTTTAGGAGTTTTCATTTTGATAAGGAACTGAGATTTTGTGTATTATTTTCTATGTCGAAATCATTATTCTTGACTTACTATATTCTTAGAATTTGATTTTACCGTTAATACTTGGAATAACATTTAATAATGCATGGTAAGAACTTAATTTTTTCCCCCTACTGTGTAGTTGGGTCTTTGAAAACTAATGTTTAAAGCTTTTTGGGGAAACTGGTCAGTTGAATTATTTGTTAAAATTACTTGAAAACTTGTCTGAGAATAGAATAGCGTGTATATATATATATATATATATATATATATATATTAGGATTCTACTTCATGCTCTGTATGCTATTATGTGCCTAAAAAATCTGGAAGAATACTTACACAGAGAGTCAGTCATTTCTGAGGTTAGAATTCTAGGGCAATTTTTAGTTTTTTCACTTTCCATAATGCAAGACTTTTATAGTTAGCATGTTTGGTTTTGTTTTTTTGAGACAGGGTCTTGCTGTGTAGTTCAAACTGCCCTTGCACTGACTGTGTAGCCCAGGCAGGCCTTGAACTCTTGGTGATCCTTCTGCCTCAGCCTCTGGAGTGCTGGGATTATAGGTGTGCATTACCATGCCCAGCTATAATTAGCATGTATTATTTTTATAATCAGGAAGAGAATAAAGATTAAAATTAAGTGCTTTAAGATTGATTTTTTTTTTTTAGCTGACTTGTGTTTAACTTAGCTCATAAATTCTGGGACTGTGAAACCCACACATTCCCTGAGCATAGCACTGTGGTAGGCCTGGTCAGGAATATAAATAAAGATGGCCTCAAGTTTCTCCAGACTCCTTTCTGCTTCCAGGTACAAGTGGGGTCAATAACAGCACTCAGTATGGGTGGGTGACTCACCCAGCTTTTGCTCAGATGTTCTCTAATCATTTCTGAGAGTACTAGAGTTACCACAGTAAGTGTCCCAAGTCAGATGGTTTGATCATTCATTGATCATAAATACTTTTTGATAGACTGTTGATAGCCTTTACTAATTTAAAAAAAAAAAAAGAGCCTCTGGATGTCCTCTCACAAACCAGCTAACAGGTAAGAAATACGGTACCGTGAAAGCCAGCATCAGCACCCACGGGCAAGCGACAGGTGTCCTGTCTGAGCAAGCTTGATGAAGTCCCCATAGTCTGTCTAGGTGCTTTGGTGTAAAAGTCCATTCAGAACAAAGTAGGAGAGTAGTTTAGCCACAGGACTCAGCTGGCATTCTGGTTGGTTACACCGGTTACAGAATACTTCAACTATCATTTTGGGGGACCATGCCAAAGACATAGGCAGACTGAGTCCCTGAAGCCTTATACACGATTAATACCAGGGCAAGAGCTGCTGTACGGTACCTGCAAGTCCATCCACGCATTCTGAAAGCTCGTTCCACCACTGAGCAATAATTTCTAATATCCATGGTGCGAGTTCATGAAGCCTGCGTTGTGGGTGAAGGGCTGAGGTAGCAGAACGGCTTCCTCTCCAGTGGGCCTTTGACCAGCAGAACCAACTTTGGTTTTTTTTTTTTTTTTTTTTTCCTGGAGAGCCATTAGTTAAATGCTTAGGAATATTGTGAGTTGGTTAAACCACTGGCAGCTTAAAATCGACCATAGTGGGGATATTTACACCAGAGAAATTGGCAAGGACTAAAAAATCAGGGCTTCCCCCCGCCATAGAGCCTGGTTTTCTAGCACATTACTATATATTTTCAGTTTCCCTCTGTCCTGCCTTACTTTAAGCTTAAAAGAAAAGAAAAATAACTTTTTCCCACACCCCCAAAGACCAACACCTAACAGCTTATTGAATCCTGTAAATCTGACATGAAACCCGGCATTTTAAGATTAGGATTATAGCCAATTCTACACTGCTTGTGAAGAAAAAGAAAAATACCTGAAAGTGAAAGACTTAAAATTTTAGGTAAATAGTCAGTGCTATATATACATCTTTTTTGTCCCCCCTGAATAAGATAAATAACCGGGCAGGTGCTTGCCTATGAACACACAGAAGAGGTACACTTGCCATCACATGGTCTGTTTTTAAAACTAATGTGTGCTCATTTTTTTAGCAGTAAGGCACATGGGCGGAAGTCGGATCTGTTAACGTAGTGTTAGCATCTTCATTTCTAGGAGGATTTACAGGCCTGAGCCCCATCCCATCTTTTCCCCGCTGTAAAATCAAGTTCCTGGAGCCCTGTCCGTGGCTCTGCCATGGCTCCTACCTCTGGCTCTCACTACCTCCCCGCCAGCCTCTCCCCCTCTCTGCCCGATGTGCTGACGTCTGTCTCAGGCTGTCCCTGCCTCATGCGTCCTGGCTGTCCTGTGCGCCGTCTCCTTTGAGTCACTTCTTATACTTTGCTGCATTATCATTATGCTTCACATCTGTTTGCTAGTTTGTTCTCTGCCCACTGGAGGTCAGCTTGAGAGCAGGGATTTTATGTTCCTGCCTGTGCCAGAAGGAAGAATGCCAGCCAGTAAGGACTCATTCACTTAGCCCCAGCGCTCAGTGAGGCTAAGGCAAGGGGATCGCATGTGTGAGCCCAGCCGGGTACCTTAGCAAGCCGCTGCCTCGAAAAATGAAAGAAAGAAAGAAAGGGCTCATTTACCATTGGCTGGGGTGGATGAGTATTGCCACGTCACACATCCCTGCTCACATCCAGATGCTTCGTCTGCTCTGGGTTCTCGGTCTTGACCCTCAAGCGTGCTCAAGTCTCTTCTCAGCGACAGAAATCCTCCCATACCCTGCCGCCTCGCTGCTCTGTCGCTGTGCCCTAACCTCACCAACTCCTCCGTCAGGACTTCGGTGCTGGCTGTTGGTCACGCACTCCAGGGGTTTTATCCTCTCTCAAGGACACCTACGAGTTCCTACAGCATGTTGCCGTCTGAGTGCCCCAAAGCTTGGCAACAATTTACAGCGGGCCACTCTTTCAGACCATTCCTTTGGGTTGCCCGTGCTTCTTAGCAGGTCGTGATGAAATGTGCAGGGCGGAGCGTGTTACTCTGGGGCTGCTCTAGGGTGGTGACGGCCCGTTCTCTGCATTCATCACACGGCCGGGTGGCCTCCCTCTCCTGCCACCCGTGTTTCTGCCTTGCGCTGGGTTCCACCTCTGCAGTCTCCATTACCCTTCCCTGCTGCGACTGCAGTGATCTCCCCTGTATCTGAATTCCCGCCACCCCTGGGTCTGACTTTCCAGCGATCCACACACACCCCAGTCCAGTGTGCTCCGTGCCCAGGCGACGTGCTTGCTCTTATTAGAACTGATCATTTCCTCTCCAGCCCCCACAGCCCTGTCCCCTCCTGCGTGTCCCGAGTTCATGAGGACTTGGCCTTCTGCCCTGGGTTCACGTCAGCCCTTGGCAGAGCCTTGGCCAGTGCCAGTCACTGCTGTGAGACGCTCATCCCTTCCCCTCTAGCCTCTTTATCTCCCCGGGGTCATCATCATTTGACAGTTTTAATTCCCTACTCCCCAGTGCAGCGGACAGCCCGTTGTTAAATTAGTCTCTCCACACCAAGCATCGCCCGCTGCCCACAGCGCAGTTCCCAACCTGCAGCTCCGAACCCTTGACGTGGCCCACGGTGGCTTTGTGGCTCTACCTCACGCTAATCCCAGCTGGCGCCCAGTGTTTGACTGTCAGCTGTCATTCCTCACCTGCCCCTCGGCTGTAATTCTTAACTTGCCCTTCAAGGCCCCGGTTGAATGCCACTTCCTCCAGGATGTCCTTGGTGATTTCCCAGCTGGAATTATGTCCTTTCCCTATCATTCCTAAATTAGTTCTGGATGTTCTTTTTGGTTCATTGCTCTGATTTTGTATTCTAGTTTGTGGGAACTTTTTCTTTAAGTCTAGGAAGTTTTTCTCCCAGAGACCCATGTTGTGGAACTTGTATGCTGGATGGAAGCAATTAATAACAGTTTGTACAATTTAACTGTTTGGTTTTTTGAGGCAAGGTCTTGCTTGGCTGTTCAGGTGGACCTTGAGCTCACTATGTATCCTAGACTGGCAGTGATCTTCCTGCCTCAGCCTCCTGAGGGCTAGGATTATAGGCGTGCATCACCATGCCCAGAGGTTTTTAAATGAAGAGAACAATTTTTATCCTTGTCTACTTTGTAGACTGCTTATTAGGGAAGTAAAACAATCTGAAAAATAGATTTTTATAGTTGAGAAAATGGGTTCTATCAAAATGTCCTAAGTTGCTTTTAATATTTCAGAATTGACATGTAAGAATAAAAAGAAAATACTGGCAAATGCAGTGACTATGTGGGGATAGTATAAAATTTTAGGTATGTAAATAGGAATTGGAGAGAAAATTATCAAATTGAACTCATTTGCATGTATAATTACCCACCTGTGAGCATTCTGCTGTCGTGTCTATTCCACCTTTCTCCTCCCACACAAAATTAAAAATACTTTGTATTAAAATTTATTTTCTAACCAAATACAATGAATTCTTGGGATCAAGGGTGTAAATGTGACTTCTCCACTTGAAATAAGACCGTGGGATCGGTGTGTGCTGAGTGTGAGCGAAAGCTCTGCAGAGAAACGTCCTGGCCACTTGCTCGTGTTCAGACATCAGGTTTGAAGGCAGTGACTTTGGTAGTCCATCTCTTTTAGCCAAAACCAAGGAAGAAAAGCACAGCTGGCTGGCTTGCTTTCTTCCTTTTTCTCCTTCCCCTCCCTCCCTTCCTGCCTGCCTTCCTTTCATTCTTACACAGGGTCTCACTATGTAGTCCAGGCTGGCCTTGAACTCACTGCGTATCCCAGGCTGGCCTCTGACTCATGGCAATCTTTTTGACTTGGTCTCCTGAGAGGTGAGGTTACAGGTGTGCGCCACCGTGCCTGGCCCCAAACCACAGATTTTATCAGCGTGAAATTCACAACACAGCTGTCAGATGCTCACCTGAAATAGCTGTTCCTCTGAGAAAGGCACGAGGGAGGTGGACTTTGTCGTCCAGAGGGCCACTCTTTCGTGGGGGACAGATGATCTCAGAGTGGGGTTTGTGTGTGGGTGCAGTGCCTTCTTTCCACGGCTGGTGCAAAACACCTGAAATGCCCAAAGGTTTGTTTGGCTTATAGCTTCAGAAGGTTTGGTTCATGGTCAACTGGCTCCCAGGTGGAAACATCATGGCAGAGGGGTCTGGTGCAGGAGAGTTGCTCACCTCAGTGGTCAGAAAGCAGAGGGAGAAGGAAAGGGCCCAAGAAAAGAGGTGCCCTTCAGAGTTACACCCTTGGGGACTACTGCTTCCTCCAACTGGACCCTGACTCCTAAGAGGTCATTCTGCTGTGCCCCCATCCATGGGTAAATTCACTGACAAGGTTAGTGCCTGCACAGCCTAATACCTTTACTAGGTGGCTCTTAGTGCAGTCAGGTTCACAGTCAAGGTGAACCATCACATCCAGGCATGGAGACATGTACCTATAATCCCAGCCTTAGAGAGGCCGAGGCAGGAGGATCTCCACAAGTTGAAGACCAGACTGGGCTACATAGTTCAAGGCCCGGCTGAACTATGTAGTGAGACCCTGTCTC